ATTGACATAATATTTTTTATAATATAATCAGTAATTCTTTTTAAATTTTTTTTTTAATTTAAAAAATCACATACGTGATATATTTTATTTTTACTTAAAATAAATTTAATCAATAATTCTTTATAAATATTTTTATTTTTTTTAGTTTGAAAAATCGCTGACTAAATATATTTAAATTTTAATTAAAATAAATTTTATCAAAAATCTTTTTTAAATGTAATTATTTTTTTGTTATATTTGTTTAATTTTATAGATCTAAATACTTTTTGGTTCGAAAATTGTTTAGGGACTTAATCGTTCAAAATATGAATGTTCAATGAGTTTTTTTTGGACTTTTTTTCAATATTTTACCACATTAACTAGTTGAACAAGTCAAAAGAATGTATCCAACAGGTTTTAGAAAAGTCCAAGAAGTTATTTAACATGTTTGGATTGTCCAAGGACTTATTTGTTCCAAAAAATTGTCCAATGAGTTCTTTAACATGTTTTAAATTGTCTAAAGACTTATTTGTTTCAAAAAATTGTCCAATGAGTTATTTAACATGTTTTGTAATGTCCAAGAACTTATTTGTTCCAAAAAATTGTCCAATGACTTAATCATTCCAAACACCAAAGTCCATTGGTTTTTTTTAGACTTTTCCCCTTAAAGAAACCGTTAAAACGTTCAAACCGGTCGAACCAAGTCAAACCAGATCGTTTTTGACGGTTTGAGCGATTTGGTTTGATTTAGAAAATAGCAAAACCGGGCGGTCCGGTCCGATCTGCGGTCTAAAACCCTTTTTGGGTGGTTTGGACCAAACCGACCGCCAAATAAATAAATATATATATATATATATATAATTTATTTTAGTATTAGCAAGCCCAACTTTTTTTAACTTATTGGTTATGACTTAAATATATTTTTTTAAGCCCCACATAAAACCTAACATCTAACATAATCAAAATTGATATTTAATCTAAAATTATAAATTGTATATGTTTTTTAAATTTAATATTTAAAGTCTATTAAAAAGGTTCAAACCGCCTAAACCGGTCAGACTAAACCGTCTTTTCATGGTCTGGTTTGACCGGTCTGGGCTTTGATGTCAAACCGCTCGATTTGAAAATTTTATAAACTACCATTATGGTTTGCTTTGTGGTCTGAGAGGTTCAATCGCCCAAACCTGACCGCGAACACCCTTAGTCTATGAGTTTGAATTCTTTTTAGAATGGTATATTAGGTATAGAGTAGATACTAGTCGAGTCCTAGGTTAATTGATTTGAGCTCGAAAAATTAATACTAGGCTCGAGCTCGATTAACCTTTTCAATGTAGGGCTAGTGCTCGAGCTCAAGCTGAAATATTTTTTGAGCTATTGTGCTCAAGCTCGATGCTCGTTTATGGGTCCGAACTCGTGATTGATTAACTCGTTTGTCGGTTTGAACTCGATAATTTTTATATTTTTCTTGTATGATTAATAAATATGCGAGCATGTTTGGCTCGAAAAATGGTACGCTCGAATAGCTCGTCTCGGCTTGACTCGAAAAACTGAATCAGGTTTTCGAATGAGCCGAGTCGAACGTACATCAGTGTTGTAGAGCTTGCATCGTTAAGTTAAACGAGTTCTAATTTGTGTTCGAGATTGACTCGAGCTCAAAATTTATTAAGCTCCTCGAGATAGACGAGCTCGAGTAGCTCATTAAAAGCTCAAATCGTTTAAAATCCTGTTTATATAAACCAAAAGTCGAAATACAAAATTCCTACGTCCAATATCCATGCGTAAATTTTGACTTAAATACATCGATTATTTTCGTCATTTATCACTTTTATTTTGCTAATCCAATTTATATGTATAGAAAAAAAATAACTAATAACCATAGATATAAATATAGAACTACAAGAATGGTGTCTGATTGGTTTGAACTTGAGTTCCAAAAGTCAAAAGTGGTTGAAGGTCACAGGTTCAAATCCAATGAGCAATAAAAAATTTACTGTGGCCATGGAGGTTCAAATGTGGTGAGTTTGGACTACCCATAAAACAAGTGGTTGTCTTAGAATTAGTTAGCTCGCATAACAAGTTGAATATCCATGTTAACCAGGAAAAAAAAATATAAACAATTGATTATAAGTAAATTTGTGAAGTTTTTTCTTTTAATTTAGTATAGTCATATTATAATAATAATTATGGTCAAATAATTTTACTTTTACAGATGTCTGAATATAAGTTTTTCCACAATTATCATATTTGAATTTTATCAGATTATTTTTACAAATATGATGTGTTATTTTCCACGTGGACGTTTTGGACATATTTTCATGAAACCTCAAAACTCTTCTTATTTAAAGGGATTTTGACAAAGGAGTTTTTATGGACCGTCATTACGCAATTTAAAGTATCGTAATAAAGCAGTGTTTTGACTGTTTTTTGATCGGTCATTTGTAGATATTTTTTTGGCCTTTGATATCTATCTTCTATCATATCATCTGTTAGCTAATCGTGTTAGAGGCTTTGATTACTCTATCGGAATTGGTGTTGCAATCCAAGAGGGTAATTTGTTAGGTTGCTTGGGACCCAACGAGTGTTAATAATTGGTCGTCTTTTTTTCATTTCATGTTTTTTTCCCGGTTTGCTTTATGTATCTTACAAAAAGAAGTTTATGTATTTACCATTATTAGCGTGTAGTAGATTGACCTGAGTGCGTAATATGCCAGTCATGAAGAAATCCTATCGATAGATACTATAGAGGAACAAAAGTAGTTGACGACGGTGTAGAGAGAAAGCTATAAGAAGCAAAGCTCACACACATCGACTCATAGGGTGAGATGAAGTTGTCGAAGCAACGGAAGTCACGAGCAAAGTGGACTTCTTTTAAGCATGATGCTAATAAGTCCACACGATAAGACAACATCCTGAAGTTGCTTCGTGATAAGACAACATCCTGAAGTTGCTTCGTGATATTCCATCTCGGGTGTTAGTAGGCACTAAGGTCAACTGGATCTTGAGGTGCTACTTGATAACATTGATGCGTGGCTTACTTTATGCTCGTCACATTCAATGGATACAGGTCTCCCCCGTCACCATTAGGTGTTAGTATATGGATAGTGTATTATCCATATTTTGGTATCGTCTTGAGTTTGGAGAATTATCATATTCTATGGTTTTAATACATTGGATCCCCTCCATGTATTAATGTTTTGGATAAAAGAGTTATATCTATGTTTTCGGTATTTGGGTTTTTTAATCCTATTTGTAATTCGTGGGAGTATTGGGTTTCACAGTTGTTAAGGTATTTTCATACAAGTGTTTTATCATGAAAATGGTGTGTTTGGGAAAAATGCACCACTTTTTATTCAAAATGAATTTCATGATTAGAAATTTAGACTTAAATAATATTCTTTCTATATTACCGTTTTATATAACTGATGAAATCTATTTGAACTCATCAGACATTAAGCCTAACTCTTTTCTTTGTCAACATGTGCATCAGGTCCTTGTTGGAGATGACATATGTCATTGTGTTTTAATAACACCCTTCCCTTATTGTATATTCGTGTTAAGGTTGGAATTTATTTATTGATGTTAAAACTTAGATTACCATTGTTATTATATTTTTTTTCCAAAATAAATTGCACGAACTATTTCATGTTTATCAATACTTTGTATCTATCAGATTAATAATTTTGGGGAATGTTTTGCCACACCCGAGAGTCTCGCTCATGTTCTGAAAATTCTTGAATTGTTTTAGTTGCATAAGATTTCATACTAGTTTTATTCAAAGTTTTCTCCATATTTCTTTACTAGCATTGCATGTTTTTGAAGTGCATGTTGTGAGCTAGTTTCAAGATTTAAACTGACAGAAATTGTCTCGTTCATCTTCTAAAGATAATGCAAATATTTTGTTACGATTTTTGAGGAATTATTTTGTGTATTAGAGGTTCGGGGCCGAGTTTGAAATGCATGAAACTATTGTATCTCCTACAGTCGTTTGCAAGTTAATGGAATTCTTTTATGATGTTTTATGACTCAATGATGAAACGTTGGAATTAAACGGATTTGCTTTGCTGTATGTGTTGCGTATGAGAATTTACTGAGAATTTCATTTCATTATATTTTGTTGATTTGATGATAAGATTTTGATGGCAATAAGTTATATAGTATTCCCTCGGTTTAATTTCTGTTGTTATGAGAATTGTTTTGTTGCGTATAATTTGCATACGTATTTTATTTGAAGCTTTCTTTATGATATTTGTAGCCGGCAATTTTAGAACGGCGAAAACAAATTGTTATTTGGCTTTAAATTTGAAACCAATCTAAAAGATTTCATCATTTAACCAAAGCGTATGCACATATTAATTTACCAGTTTTAAGAGATAAACTGACGCATACAAGATTTGTTGGAGATTTTGTTCCATGTGATTTTGTTGTCAACCTTTAGTTTTTGCATGAGCATGTGGTATTGCAAGTATTCCATGAATAAATAAACATTTTGATAAATGAATTTTTATCACGATAATGGTGGGTTTTATATTTCATTTTGGAAATTATGATTTAAATAACATCTTTTCAGTTTTACCATTTTCATGTTTAAGATGAAAACTGTTTGATCTCACTAGACATTAATTAGCAGTTGAAAGGACGGGCCTTTGAGGACATTCTTGTCCTCTTTTTCTTGAGCTTTCGCGGCTTACAAGATCGACTCACAGCAAACGACAAACTTGACCATCATTCATTTCTAGCACCCAAAAACAGCATCTAATATATGCATATTCATCCATGTCATCATAAACAACCACAGTTCACTCCTAGTGTTCAATAAATCATCCATCAAATCCTATTACTATATGCTCATGTTGTTCATAATGTACCAATTACCAAAAACCATCATCATTCATTCACTCTCAGCAGAAAAACATTGAACTGCTGACTTTGTCATGAAGCTTTGGTATCTGAGTGAACCCACCTGCAGAACTTCCACCCCCGCTATGGCTCGATGCAACATCTGACAAGTCATCGAACTTGACAAATTGAGCCATTTGCGCAGCGGCCAAGTGAGCATAACACACCGGAGCAACTGCACATACACGAAACAAGCAAAAAAACATTCAAAAACAGTTGCAGTATCGAATCCAAGGACTATTTTTGTAAATTCACATCTCCCAAATCATATGTTCAAGATTAAGCCAACGAGTCGACTAAGTTGAAGCAGATATTTACCGACAGAGATGGCAGTCGTGCTCCTTTGATACCTGCATAATAATCCATAATCCGCAAATCAATCACACTTCATATCGAAAACAATCAACCATTTGTTATAAACAACTTACACGTAGGAGAGTGAATGAACAAGTTCTTGCAAATCATCGGTAGAAAAACCAATCTGGTCCAGAAGTACATGATAATGGGTAGGCCGGCTGGTACCCTAAAAACCAACATAAAAAATCGAGTTAATTCCTACAAAATCACGAGCAACAAATATGTTAGAAATCTTTGATGAAACTCACAATCGGCCCATTCTGGGCACACAAGTAGAAGTCATTGTTCTTCGGATGACACACTTTGTTGTCGATGATTGTTCCTGAAACACAAAAAGGAGATTAAATTAACGTTTCATTTTCCTCCTTGCAAACTATTAATCTTCAAGAATCGAATCAAAACCTGGTGGAACATTGGCTTCATTATTTGGTTGGAAGAACTTGGTGTGATGAGTCTTCTGAGCCACAATCACCAAAAACTTTGGATTCCAATCGCCATCCAAAAACTTGCATGCCTACATTGAACGATGTATGAGTCCCAAATGATTTTACTCAACGTTTACGACATCTGTTAACGAAAAAACATAGATCAAACCTCCATTATCTGCTCGAGCTCAATATTCAGCACTTGGCTGAACTGCGATTCACTAACTCCATCTCTGCAGACAATACAAAAGGCGTTAAACTAAACCCAACAGATTTCCAAAAACCCACAAATGTCTTACCGAAAAATGATTATATTCTGTGGTTTCAGCTTTGGAGTGCTTCGGTAAAAATCTTCCAACAATTCCCTGAAATCAAAAACATCGTATCAGCCGTTTCAAGTACTCAAAAGTTCAAGTCTTTTTGAAATCTTGATGACTGTCAAGTGCAACCACCTTATCATTCCTTCATCTTTATCATCTGAAACAGGCTTAAACAAGCCATCAATCATCTCAACTCTGGAAGACTGAGTCCGAACAGATGCCCTGTAGCGAGAAACAAGCGGCCAGTTCCTCGATCCCACAACCTACAAATTCCCAAGAAAATTCGATTCAGTTTGCTGTCACCAGACTCGATATCTAGAAATCTCAACTTACAGCCGCAATGGATGGAACATCGGAGCGGCCAGGAGAACCATGAGAAACATCCATTCCAATGATTATGGTCGGTGTCCTTGACACAACGGGCATACATCTCGAAAACTCCATAGAAAGCAGTGAGTTTATACCACCCATCTGAAATCAAAGAAATACAAATGAGACCCGAGTTCCAGAAAGATAGAATACAACTAAAACAGCTTCGGTATTATATCTAGACCTTTGCATTGATCTTCAGAATAATGTTAGTTAGATATTGATCATTGATTCTAGTTGGAGCCATGCACTGTGTCACAATTCCAAAGTCCACAAGACACTTTCGCTTCCACGGACCTATCAACAACAAAACAACTTACGTCAACAAAAGAACAGTTTCATTTTTCGGGTAGCAAAAGATCAAGCGAGTAAAAACCATAGATGTCCGAATTCTTTCTTTCCGGGAGGATGCATAGAAGAAAACGAGGAGGGCCAGGGAGTTTTTGTTTTATCAACTCAAACATCTTATCCACACGAACAGGAGCAGGATTGCGTCGAAACTGAGGATTTTCATCGATCACAGCATACGGTTGATCAAGATCCTGAACATATAACCAGATTATTAAACTTCACCCTTACCATCTAATAATTCGTAGCAAATATAGAAAATAACCAAATTAAACTTACGATTCCTTTCGCATGTGAACACTTGGGAAGTTCTCTTCGTAGGTAATTCATGTCACAACGTGCAGAAAAGTTGACAATAGCCCATTCAAAGATCTTAGTCGGTTCAACAAGTGTCTGCAGTCATATAAAACAGCTATTAGAACCAATAACACTCGTATATGTTAGAAACAAAGAGCTCATGATCGACCTTATTATTGAAGTTCCATCGACCACCACGAGGAAACAAGTCCCCTCCATTCCCAAACTTCAACTTTGGTGGCTCCAAAACACGGCCTTCCACTTGGGTAAATGCAGTGCTAATTGAGATGCCCGTAGAATTAATCAGAGGATCGGCTTCGTAGTTGCTTTGCCTGAGCGCCTGAAAAGAAACACGAAAATAGTTTATTACAAATTACCATTCTTGATTAAGATCTAATATGACGTTATTTATAAACTTACACCAGTCAAGGCTCTCATCCGTTCTTGTGGCTTTTGTCTAGATTTCTCCACAAGCGAAGCTCTTTGTAAATTTGACAACGATTTTGTATAACGTTGTAATGATACCAATTCGCAGAACTACATATAAACACAAAGATGTAAAGTAGAACTGGATAGGATTTAGATGTTTAACAAAATCCAAATAGAATACCTCCAGTGGAATATAAACAGGCCTCTTTGGCTTCCCAACATCAAGACATGGAAAATCAGCAGAATACTCAAGCTCTATCCGCTTATGCATCACAAAGTACTCGTACACGGTTATTTCAATGGCCTCCCCCGGGCTGTTGTGTCCATCTCTCTGATTCCTCGATCTAAGTGAAAATCTACAAACCGAATTCACATTTAACCGACATTTCCATCCTACGCTTTATAGAACCAATTGGATTTCTTCGGCATAATATACAACATGAACTAAAAGAACTTACCTCTGTTCCCTGCAGGATCTTTCACTCAACCCAATAACCTTATGCTCTAGATTCGAAGGAAAGGTCTTGACACGAAGGCTCTTGAGCGATCTTTTAGCCTGTTTAACAGAAACAATCAAAGATATGAACCAATCAAAGCTACTAGTTAATCTTAAACAGAAAAGATTTTTTACCTTAAGCCAGTCAATGTCCCTTAAGCTTCTCACATTCTGATTCTGAAGAAGAAAGTCTGTGACTTTCCCTGGCTGGACAATCATTGTAGACGAAACATCTGTGCAAATAAATCAATAGAAGTCTTTAGTTTCATTAATATTAAGTTGAAACAAGCAGAATCTCGAGCCTTACCCATGTTCAAACTCAAACCAGATTGAGTGGCCCGAAAACTAGAATGAAAACCCCTGCAACAAAAAACCCCGCCACCGATGTTTACAAAGTTTTTGGCATCGTTGTGGAAGAAAGACTGACGAACAAGAAGACAGCCTCTGCATATATACCAAACATACCATGATTAAAGTTAATGAACACAAATAATGAACAGAAAAAGCCATTTTCGATATGTATGCTTACTGTTTCGCAGCATGTTGCCTCAGAAGAACATCCAAAACCCTTATAGCTTCATGGAATTGCTCTGAATCTTTTCCTTCAAGGGCTTTAAATATCGCTTGAATGGGGATCTTAGTAGCATAGTTTATATGCAGTTTATATGACTTGCACTGAGGTGGACGCCTCGATCTTTTCGACCCACTCTCATTTGGGCTCCCATTTGGGCTCCCACCCGCTCCACGTAACATTCTACACAACAACAAATGATCGTTAACATCACTTAAAAGGAACAAATAGTGTCATAAATTTCAAAGATTGTCGACCTATTGGACAAGAGACTCTCCAGCACAACGGTGAACTCAAGCTTAGTCGCAGGTAAAGCGCCAACCGTAAACAAAGTCTTTTCTCCATCATACGCAAACCCTTTACCACCCATCTCAGAGTTATATGTTTTATAAGCCACATCTAAAACTCTTCTACCAATACCTTTTGCCTCCACCGGATTCCCATCTTCATAAAACAAAGCCACCTAAAACAGCATACAACAGATATCTAAAGCAAGTTTTCTACTAACTTCATATAATCATATTTGATAGGGATTTCCATAGTTTACAAACAGTCAAATGCAAATATTATGAACAAAATAGTATTACAAGTTACGTCTAATAGTTGAGGAGATATAGATATATACACTGTATTGATAGAAATGGTCACTGGAGCTGCTAAATTTAACGTTGAAATGGTTGCTCACTAAAGAAATCTTTTGGCCTTTGGTGCCAATCCCCTTTCTAGCCATAGGAGTGCGGGTTGAGCCATGTGATCTAGAAGGAACAAAATTTGGTGGAATCAGCGGCGGAGGTGGTGGCAATGCTTCTGATGTTTCTGGTTGTGAACGACTCATTTTCAAGATCTCTGTGGATTGTCAAGAAACACATGTAAATAGATACAAACTATATGAATGTTAACTGTTGATTAAATGTAGAAAAAAATATGCAAATCAATGAAATCAAGAATAGGGTTTTTATTACAAACAAGCACATGAAAAGAAAAATCTACGAAAAACATTGCGGGTGACAGATTTCAACATCTATAGATTCTTCTGATAGATTTTCAAGATTGGTCAACACGAACATAAAATCATAAATGGGATATTGAATATCTAAAAACATCAAATAAGTAAACAAACAAATATAGGAAAAAGAAGTTACAAATAAAAATACTACACATATCGATATATACAGATCGATAGACAGATCAAGAACAAAGAACACACATATCTATGAGCATGTATACATGCATCAACAGAGAACAAATAGACCCACCTGTGATTCTAACATTCTTTTGAGAAGAAAAACGATCAGAACAACATACATTATTCAAACAGAAAGCAATAGCCATCAAAACATCGTGTATACTGATCACATACACACACACAGTGGATATGTACATGCGATTATCATTCTTTCGCGAAAAACCCCATCATCGAATCAACCAGAAAACAAGAAAACCCCATATTCTCAACCAAAAAAACCAGTAAAGTATGATTATACCCACATTAAAACATACTCCAATCCATATGATTATACCTTACTAGCTTAGTTGTTCTTTCAGAAGAAAGAAGACGAAAGCGTAAGTGTGAATGATGAAGAAGACGAAGAGATGGATATAGAATAGAATGTATATAATGGAGAGCAAATCCCTATAGAAATCAAAGGCTGGAAGTTAGAGAAACCGTAAGGTCTTTTGCAGCGATATTCAAGGCTCGCGAGTGAGAGATGGAGAGGAGAAAGTTGCCTAATGCTACGGCGGGGTCCGTATCATCCTGTTGCTGCCACAATATCCTTCCTGCCACGTGTCATGTTTCTCTTATTTCTCTTTAGTAATTTCTCTGTTTTACCCTTGTGCCTAGATTCACTCGGCAAGGTAATGGGGATGGGCTGTTTCGTCTTTCCACATTTGTGATGAGTACACGCCATGATTTCGTGAAATCATTCCAAACGCAAATCTTTTAATTTTAATTTCTTTTTTATTTTTATATTTATTTTTATTTTAAGAGAAAATTGCTTGTTATCCTGAATGTATTTATATATTTTTATAGTGTACATTACGGTTTTTTAGGTCTAGTTATAGTTTTGGAATTATTGTTTTTTTTAATTTTTTTAATTTATAATTTATTGTTATTTTTGTTTTTATATTTATAGTTTTCTACTACATAAAAACAAATTCTTAGAGACGAAAATAACAATGGATTATGATTTACTAGAAGGGTACTCGCGTAATACAGCAATATAGATCGTGATTTTAATATTTCATTTTATTCTTTATCTCAGTCAAAATTATGGTATGGTCTTATGTGATTTTGAAAAACGATGATGTTTTTATTTTTGAATAAAATATAAATTTGAAAATATTATAAAATTTTGATAAAAATATATTGATATTAGTATCAAATTAACTATATCTAATTCTTATTTTTGTGTAATTTTCTAATTCAATTTTTTTTTATTGTAATTTCAATTTAGGTTCAATAACGAAGTAATTTATATTTGATTTAATAATATAATTTTCTTATAAAGATAATAATTAATTATTTTATTATGACTCGATAATTATCTTAATTATATTTTAGATTTTTTATATTTTAAAATGAGATATTTATCCTCTATTTGATTATGTTTATCCACAGTTAGTTACACGGATTCAAACATGGAGCTTTAATAAGTTGTATTTTTTGCATAATTTACTTGTAATCTTGAATTTTAAGTAAAATGCATCAATATACAGTGTTTTATGCGTAAAAATTTATTTTTAAGAGTTTTTATCAAATGCTTTATAATATAGTATAGATTAATATAAACAGTCTTAAAATCTTAAATAATGAAAGAAAGGAAAAATATATAGTTGGATGTAATTTATATGAAGATTTTGATTCTTTTTTTACATTTTGAAGTATTAGTGATAATATCCTGATATCTTGTGTACGCTGGTAAAAACTAAAGTCGTTATTGGTGTTAAATAATAGAGTAAAACATCTGAAATCGTTATTGGTGTTAAATAATAGAGTAAAACATCTGAAATCGTTATTGGTGTTAGATTATAGATGAAATCGTTACTGGTTTTAAATTATAGAGTAAAAAAGTTCTTGTTTTTTTGTAACGCATTTAACTTTATATCTTATTATAATTTAAATATTTTATACTTCAAAATAAATATGTAATTTGTTTTAGTTTTAGTTTTAATTATTTTGTATTTGAATGTATTTATCAGTTAGTTATTTGTTATTTTTGTAATTTAAATAATTATAAGTTTAAAGAAATTATATGTAATTGTTTATAGAGCTTAATCATTTAAAAATTCCGAAAATATAAAATCCTTAATCCATTAAAAGGTACTAGAAGAGTACTCGCGCAATGCAGCGAGATACATCTCGATTTTAATGTTCTATTTTATTATCTGTCTCTGTCAATTTTATAATATGATTTTATGTGTTTTTAAGAAAAACAATAATGATTTTATTTTTGAATAAAATATAAATTTGAAAATATCATAATAAATTTAAAAAATATATATTAATGTTAATATCAAATCAACTATTTAAAATTTCTCATTTGTTATGTAATTTTTTTATTATAATTTAATTTAAGTTTAATGACGAAATAATTTATTTTTGTTTTAATAATATAACATTTTATAAAGATAATAATTAAGTATTCTGTTAAAACTCAATGATTATCCTAATTATATTTTAGTTTTTTTATATTTAAAATGAAATGTTTATCCTCTATTTAATTATGTTTATCTAGAATTTAGTTACGCGAATTCAAACATGAAGCTTTAATAAGTTGTATTTACGTACAATTTACTTGTAATCTTGAATTTTAAGTAATATACATCAATAAGCAGTACTTCATGCATAAAAAATAATTTTTAAGAGTTTTTGTCAAATGTTTTATAATATAGTATAGATATATGTCATAATAATAAATAATTTTAAATTTTAAATTTAAAATAATTACATAAATGAATGACATCTTATTCTCTAATATATTTTTAATGTAAATATATAAATGTTTTGTAATATAATATAAATATTAAGTATATAAAACAATATTTTCCCAAATTTATTATAATATTCTAAGGGGGTGTTAGGGATTGCTTATAAAAGCTTTTTTTAACTTATTTCAGTCTGGCACCGGTGATAAGCTGTTTTCTGATGTTTGGATAAAAAAAAAACTGCTTATACCGGTGCCAAACTGGTAATAAGCTGTTTTTGATAAATTAATCATTCCTGACTTATGAAAAACTGTTTATTACCAGTTTACAATTTTAACCTTATTTTATTTAACTCTGGTTTGATATCACATAAATAAGCACTTTTACAAAAAAAAAAAAAAACATAAATTATTTTAAATAAGCAACCCCAAACACCCCTTAAATTTTAACCTACCAACTTATTAGTAGACCTATTAAAATCTTGAAATATCTCTAATAGTTTCTTACTTAATTTATTTAAAATATTTGGAAATTTTCACATTTATTTATATTATAAAAAATATTCAATTATATTTAATATTTTTAGTAATTTTTCTTAACCATTATATCTTTTTACTTCTTTCTTTTCTATCTTCCAAGATAAATAAAATAATAATTGATTTATATTTTTCCTTTTTTCTTTAGATATGATTTTCTTTCTTTTCTCACTTACTTTTCTTATTTGGAATTTCTCACAGTTGATGGAATTTTAATAACATGAATCTTTGACTGGAATCTATGAGATAAATAATCGAGCAGTTCTAAAAGTATTTGTACAAGTTCGTAATGGAATACATGATCATACTACTAAGGGTAATTAAATGATCCGTAAAAACATTTCCAACAGGTTTCTCAAAAAAAATTCAAAATGGAAAACTAAAAGTCAAAATCTCCAAAACAAAATATACATTCATCTCTGACAGATTCCCCATTTTGGAGAATCCAACATTATTATAATAACATATTTCATTTATTTAATAATAATAATATATTATTATTATTATTGTTATTATTATTTCTCTCTCCAAATATTTATTCTCAAAGTTTCCTATTGGTGCTCTCACTTGGTAATCATTTTTTGAGTGATCTTCATATTTGGAGAAAAAATCATTCTCTCTCCTACTTTCTCCATTTTGAATATAATTTTGAAGAAGTTGTTTAAGCAAAATATATGCTCAAAATTCCCATTTTATCTATTTTTCCCATATTGGAGAAGTTGTTCGAGATGTTCTAAGAATATATCCAACAACTTCCCCAAAATGAAGAAAATGGAGATTTTGGATGTTCTTTTTCTTCAAACGGATTATCTAAAATAGAGAAAATATGAGAGAGAAGGAAAATTTCTCCAAATATGGAGAATTTTTTTAAATTAATTATTTATGAATGAGAAATAATATTTTATTTTCCCTACCAATAAGAGTCTTTGAAATTAAATGTCTAGGAGAGAGAAACAATATTTTATTAAATATTTAATAATATAATTAATGTTATAATCTCTAGAATGGAGGTTCTACCGGAAATGAATGTAATTTTTTTTTTTTGAGATTTTGGTTTTTGACTCTCTATTTTAGAGAAAAGTTGAAGAATCTGTTGAAGATGCTTTAAACATACCAAACGGAGTCATAACTAGTTGATGCATGAGCTTTGTTCATAAGTATCGTATTTCTTAACGATGGACTACATAAAAATTTAGTTACCAGTTTACAACAAAATATTACAACGTGTTGTATTGCACGAGTACACAACTTACACACACATGCACAC